AGGCTCACTACCTGGTATTAAAACGGAGTGGTAGGAACCTTGGGCACATATAGCATGGGGGGGTCTCAGGACGTGAGAGAAAGCCAGCCCAATTACAGGCACGAGTCACTGACCGAAAAAATGCCTCCGGGTCCTCGACCCTCTAATCGATATCAACGCGACCAGCAGAGCTGTCTTCAGGGACAGAAAGATACTGAGTCGAGAATCGAAGGGATCTACGGCTCGTGTAACAAGGGCGAGATCCTAAGAGGGCATGAGAGGGGGCGGGGTGGATTAATTCACCTAGCGCCCCTGAGGAACCGGATGATGAGGTTATGCGTTCCCACGGTGCTGCCAGCCACCGCGTCATGACAGCGAAGATGGCAGCCACGTAACCTTGAGTGTGGAGGGCGACAGCCTGCTCTTCAGCTTCTCTCGGCGTAAAGAAAGCACAATGCTGATTTGGCAAATTACGGGGGTCTTCTCTGCGAGAGATGCACCATTCAGTGAATAGACTCTACTTCAGGGCATAGGCGCGCTCGGGGAGGGGGCACTAGCCCGAGTGACGGTAATAGCCACCGCAATCGGAGGTTACCTAAGTCTTCCTCGCGTCTAAGGACCTCCAAAGATCGGCGAGGGTGCCAGATGGTGCCCTGTCCCTGAGAGAGTAGGTGCTCTCTCGAAGGAAACTGCCAGGGGAGGGCCATCGCGAGGAGGGAGAGCTCTGACATCCAGGTCCGAGCCAGAGGGGCACAACCAGCAACCTGTTCCTCGTCCTCCCTGACCTTGCACAGTAACTGCGTGAGCAGGCTCACTGGGGGAAACGCGTATTTGCGCATGCCCCGAGGCCAGCTGTAAGCCAGTGCATCTGTGCCGAGAGCACTCGGTCAGGGAAAAGAACAACTGGCAATGAGCGATCTCGGGGGAAGCAACAGATTGATCTGGGCTTCCCCGAATTGCGCCCATATCAGCTGAACAGACTCGGGGTGGAGTCTCCATTCTCCAGGACGTAAGGCTGCCGTGAGAGCGCATCGGCTGCACGGTTGAGCTTGCCTGAATATGAATGGCGTGCAGCGATTTCAGCCGCGGATGACTCCTGAGGAGCAGATGGCGGGTGAGCTGAGACATGCGGCGAGATCGCATACCCCCCATACGGTTGATATTCGCCGCCACCGCCGTACTGTCCGTCCTGACCAGCATGTGTTGCCGCTCTAGCACCGGAAAAAGACGGTGGAGAGCGAGGAACATTGCCAACAGCTCCAGGCGATATGCCAATGCAACTGGGTACCTTTCCAGGTCCGCAGCCGCATGCCCACAATGTTCAGCCCCCCAGCCTGTGTTGGAAGCATCTGTTGAAACGACAACAAGAATGGACGTCTGTCCTAGAGGCACTCAGGCCTGTAGGAATGAGGGGTCGCTCCAAGGGCTGAGGGCGCGGCGACACAGCGCAGTAACAGAGACTCGGTGTGCGCGCGCGTGCCATGCACGTCTGTGGACTCGATCGTGAGGCCAGTGCTGATGTGGTCTCATATAGAGTAATCCGAGCGGTGTGAAGCGGCTGCGGATGCCATATGCCCCAGGAGCCTCTGAAATAGTTTCAGTGGGACCACTATTTTACTGTCGAGCTCTCTCAGATAGTACAGCATCAGCTGAGTGCGTTCTCCGGAGAGGCGCGCTGCCATGGTGACCGAGTCCAGATCCTCTGCACGTGGGCGAGTTTGCTCTTTTCTCGGTTGACCTGATACCCCAACAGGTGGAAGTGCCGGAGCACTTTGTCTCTGTGCATAATCAATTGCTCCGAGAGTGGGCAAAAATCATCCAGTCGTCAAGAAAATTGAGTATGTGGATGCCCGCGAGCTGAAGGGGTGTTAAGGCACCCTCCGCGGGTTTGGTGAGGACCCGCGGAGACAGAGAGAGCCCGAAGGGGAGGGTTTTGTATTGCCAAGCTCGACCTTCAAACACAAACCGCAGAAACTGACGGTGGCGAGGAAGAGTGGAGACATGGAAATTCGTGTCCATCAGGTCTAATGCTGCAGACCAACCCAGAGGACGAACGCACCGGAAGATGCGCTTCTGCGTGAGCATTCTGAATGGCAGCTTGTGCAGACAGCGGTTGAAAACGCGCAGATCTAGGATTGGCGGTCACCGCTCTTTTGGGCACGATGAAGTGTGGGCTGTAAAACCCGCTCTCCATCTCGGCTGGAGGGAGCGGCTCGATTGCATCCTTCGCCAGGAGGACAGCAATCTCCTCTCGCAAGACAGGGGTAGACAGGGGGCTGACCCTGGTGAATACACACCCGTGACTTGGGGGGCCGTTTCGCGAAACTGAATCGCATAGCCGAGTCTGATTGTGCGTATGAGCCACCGCAAAGAGCTGGCCCACGCTAACCAGCAAGGCAGAGCTCTCTCTAATGGACTCATCCCTACAATCGCTGACGTACCAGCAGTGGGGCAGCGCGGAGTGGGTGTGCTGAACCGGGAAGCGCGCGGGTCCCACGGAAGAGCTGGAGGTAAGGGATTTGCTCTCAATCCGCTCCCGAGCTTCGGTGGGGGGGCTCGAGAGGTGGGAGAAAGAAGACCATCCTCCCAGCGCTCGTGAGCCACTGGCGAAACGCACCGAATCTGCAAGCTAGAAAGCATAGCGTCCCAGACTGGCAGATTTCGGGCTGTCACATCCGGGGAACTGGAAAAGTGCTCTTTCATGATGTTTTCATGGCAGTAAAAAGTGCCGTTGGAAATGGGGCCCCGCCCTCCAGCGGGGAAAGAGCAAGTTCCCTCTTCTCCAGATGGCCTGTCCCAGGGATGCTTCGCGGTCCGTTGCCGGACTTAGCGGCGTTCTGGGCAGGGGGGCTGCCTGCTTCCGAGGTGCTCAACACGCTCGCTTCGACAGAGGGGAAGTCAAGAAAGCGGACTTTGTCGACTTTGTGCATATCAGCTGGGGGTGGCGCTCCTGGATCACTAGTGTGGACATCGTCCTCCCCAATGCACACGCAGCGGACTTAGTAGTCCGAAGAGCTAAGTCGGCGAGGGTGCGAAGCTCATAAGCCTGGATTGGACCCACCCTCGTGCAGCTCGGCCAGCGCCTGCGCTTGGTAGCGCTGGTAGGTGGCTATCGCATGCAGGGCGGAAGCAGCCTGGACCGCAGCCTTGTAAGCTCTAGCTCCGAGGGAGGCAGATAACTTACAGGCTTTGGATGGAAGACGAGGCGGACCCCGCCGAGAAGAGGCGCCGCGCGGATTAACTGCCATCGCGCACTCAACCTGAGGAATCGCCACATACCCCCTGGCCGTTCCACCGTCAAGAGTGGTGAGGGTGGAGGGACACGCAGCACGAGCAGAAAAAAGTGCCCTTCAAGACCGCGTGAGCCTACTGTGCACCTCTGGGAAGAAGGGGACGCCCCTCTAGTCGGTCCGGCCGCGGAGCTGGGGGATAAACCATCTCCAACCCACGGCCGAAGCAGCCCGGGAAAGTTTCAGGATCCGTTTTGACAGCGCTCACCTGCCCGGAAGGGGCGAGCGGGTCTGGATCATCATCGGTCAATGAAAGCCCACCCTCCGATGCCGCGGTGGACAACTGGACGTCTGTCATCGAGTGTAAGGGCTACCATCTGTTAGACGGATCGCTTCCCCCGCCCGAAGCTTGGATGGAGCGCTTGGAGGAGCGGGAGGTCCGCGAGCCCGTGGGCGACAGATTATCTCTCGCTGAATCCCTCAGATCTGCCCGAGTGCTCGCTGCAGAGCAGGGGACAACTGGGGTGGTTTGCCCTTTTGCAAAGGCTAGCCGCGATCTTTACTGCGCAACAGTCATGGCATCGCAATGACGACATGAACTACCCGCGAGCAGCGCATTAACATGCTGGACCCCCCAGGCATGCAAGCAGTGCCCGTGCTCATCATCCGAGGACAGGAAACCACCGCATCCAGAAACGCTCAGTCGGAGCACCGTCCTGAGGACGTGCTGCACGACTGTGTTGCTCTCTTTGTGAAGTTGCAACTTTATGCGCACTGCTCTGGAGGACCGGACCCAAAGAACGCCAGGCAAGGGAGAAACCCAGCTCGACCGTCTGCCGCTGCGTGTACACACTCTGGACCGGGAGAATGCTCTCGTTCGCTCTGAATCGCTGGATCACAGCAAGAGGAACCCTCATTGACTCGATCGAAGTCTCTGAAGCGAAAAGGATGCCGTTTGCTCGCTCCAGGTGTGCTTATATGCTGGGATAATTGGCAATGAAGCACACCTGTGCAAGCTTACGCTGCCAATTCATTGCATTCATTGGCCCGTTCAATACTCTTTCAGACAAGCGGCTTCTGAACCGAAACCTCCCATACGTGGATTTTCAAAATCAAATCCACTGTATAGCACTGAAGTTCCCCAACCGAAGGGGAACAGCTTTTACTTGGCCAACAGTGCAGTCTATATCAGTTTCTCCGAATAGCAACATGCCAGCAATGTGCCCTAACACATCTAGCACACCCTTGAGTCTACAAAGTGGCACAAATGGACTTGCTATTTTAAACAATGTGGTGCAAAACGTGAAAATCAGGGTTGTGCCGGTCTGAAAATAGCAACAAATCATGGCAAACACGTCTTGTGCCTTATTGCACTGGGTGTATGACAGGGCCCATTGTCAGTCAAGTCATTTAAATTATCTGTCCTCCCATTATTTGGTTTGGTCTTCAGAATAGTAATAAAATGGATGGCAATCAAATCAAAACTTTTAATTATAAGCTTGCCCCCTTAACTTCCAGTGTTCTTAACCTGTCTCCTTGGACTGTTTCCACCTTTTCATATTCCACTTCTTCTGCAGATTGGAGATGGTCATGGGACTTAATCACTTTTTCTGTCATTGTTTGATTTTGTTTTAAATGAAAATTCCTTTTCATTTTGTGTTTCAGCCCTTTGTCACCTGATCCTGACAATTTGGGAGTATTTTTAAATTGCATAAGTGGGATTTAGTGATGTCAGCAAATGAGAGCCAGTGTCAGTATTCACAAATATGCAAAGATAAGTGTAAGGTTTACCTCAGTAAGCAGGAAGGAGACTGCAGCAAAAGCAAAAGACCATCCATATTTATAACTGAAATAAGCTTCATTTGTTTTGGTTCTGTTCAGCATCTCATCATTAATGCTGGATATATACAGAACCAGACCAACCACGAGGGACAGACCTGTATCAGACATAAAATAAATATTAGCCAGAGAAAACAAAGAAGGGAGAGAGTTAAAGTGGAAAATACAAACAGTTAAAGTCAGAATTATTAGCCCCCCTTTTGAATTTTAAAAAAAAATATTTCTTAAACTATGTTTAACAGAGCAAGGACATTTTTCACAGCATATCTGATAATATTTTTTCTTCTGTTGTTTTTTCAGCTAGAATAAAGCAGTTATTAATTTTTTAGACACCATTTTAAGGACAAAATTATCAGCCTCTTTAAGCTATTTTTTCCCGACTGTCTACAGAACAAGCTATCATTATATTATCAGCCTCTTTAAGCTATTTTTTCCCGACTGTCTACAGAACAAGCTATCATTATACAATAACTTGCCTAATTACCCTAACCTACATAGTTAACCTAATTAACCTAGTTAAGCCTTTAAATGTCACTTCAAGCTTTATAGAAGTGTCTTGAAAAATATCTAGTCAAATATTATTTACTCTTATCATGGCAAAGATAAAATAAATCAGTTATTAGAAATGAGTTATTAAAACTATTATGTTTAGAAATATGTTGAAAAAATCTCCTCTCTGTTAATCAGAAATTAGGGAAAAAAATAAACGGGGTCTGATAATTCTGACATCAACTGTATATTCACAAAATGTTTTAAAATGGTTAACATTTCAGTTTTTAGCATTTACGTATTATAGTAAATTATTTAATTATGTTTATTTTGTACTCTGAAAGATATCATAAAGCAGGGGTAACTACATTTGGTCCTTGAGGGCCGGTGTCCTGCATAGTTTAGTTCCAACCTCAGATAGACACACCTGAAACTATTTAAGCTCTTTCTATTATAAATATACAGGACACCGGACCTCCAGGACCGAGTTTGGGCGACCCTGCTATATAACCATTTCATTCCTACAAGATGTATATACTGAAACATGTGAGCTCTTAAACTCACACATTTTATTGATTTAAACAAACACCTACCTGACAGGATAAAGAAGATTCCAGAGATGAAGGCCAGAATAGTGCGTTGAGGGCGAATATGTCCAATATTACTCAGCACAAATCCAATGAACATGAAGAATAGACTGACCAATGGGAAAGGAGTAGCGGAACGGATCATTTCTGAAAACAAATCCAAACAAATCATTTATTTTGATGGATTCCTGATCATTCAATAACCACTTTAAAATGTGTAATCCCACATGCGAACAAAATTAAAAATGTCAGATTTACGATAGTTTTGTTTTCTCTTGCAAAATTCACTTCAATTGTCTTTTTAGAGAGATGCACAAAAGTAGGTAAATTAATAATTTAATTTGATGGGATTATATTTTATCTAGTCAGCATATTATTATTGCAAAACACATTTTGTCAAATGATCAGGAGACTGCTGTTGAGCTTATTACACAGTTCAACAAATAAATATCTGGAAATATTGGTTTAAGTTTTCAGTGCATCTTATTATTTTACCTCATTTTACTTTATGGCCTCCACTTAAAACAGTGTACATGTAAAAAATTACGAAGCTATTGGCTAGCACCAAGACAAATGCTGGAATGTTGCTGTATAATAATAAAAAGACATAGGATGGCGCCAGTTTTGTTTGGTTTGAGGAAAAATAAGCATGCCTCTTGACAAAATGATGCCGGCAGCATTTATATATTTATGTATAGTCTCCAATTTGTTCATTAAACATATATACAGCTTATATTGAACAGATCAATGCAAGCAATAAATTGGCTGTTAGGATTAATAAAATGTTAATGATTTTGAGAGGCTAATTAAGTAATAAACAGCAGCTTCTCTATACATAAATGTGTTATATTTTTTACCCCAAAAAAAAAAAAACTGATGAAATGCCAGCTTCACTGTTAACAACACTATACAGTACACAACAATAGTTAGCTAATCATAAAAGTTTAGCAACTATAGTGAGCTAATCATTTTTCATTGGACCAAGTGAAAAAAATCACTAGGTCCAAGGCCCAGAGATGCTTATGAAGCATTAACACCCAGAGGGGATAAACCTCATGTGGCTGACACTTTATACATCAATTGCTATTCCTTCCCCACTCTACACTGGCAACAAACAAAACAGTATCCTGAGGACAAAAAAAAAAAAAAAGCTGATGACATGTAATGCAGACAGACTTTTATTTGTACAGCCACTCTGTTACGTCACAGGACTGCTGTCTGCCACTAGAATTGGGTTTGTTATTATGCATGCTCCAGACACTGGTCACACTGGGACATGGCAAAACCCAGATGGAGTGTCGACATTCCTATTAAAGAGATTTTCCTTTTTGTATCTATATTGAAAAAATAGCTTTCTAAATTAGTTTTACTTTATTAACCTAAAATGTTTCACATTTCTGAATTAATTTCATTCATTCGTTTTCTTTTAGTCTCTTTATTAATCGGGACTCACCACAGCAGAATAAACGGCTGACATATCCAGTATGTTTTACGCAGCGGATGTCCTTTTAGCTGCAACCCATCTCTGGGAAACATCCATAAACTATCATTCACACTCATACACTACGGACAATTTAACCTACCCAATTCACCTGTACCGCATGTCTTTGGACTGTGGGGGAAACCGGAGCACCCAGAGATAACCCACGATAATGCAAGGAGAACATGCAAACTCTACACAGAAACGCCAACTGACCTAGCCGAGGCTCGAATCAGCGACTTTCTTGCTGTGAGGCGACAGCACTACCTACTGCAGCACTGCGTCGCCCCTCTGAATTAATTTATCAATTAAAAACGGCTCTCTTTTAGCATTAATTTAGTGTACTAGAATGTTCTGCATTTTATTTTGGCTCTTGTGCCCCGCTTTTAAAAGATTTAGAAATTATTTTGCATGTGAAATGAGTATGACTGAGTAAACAATTGAATGAATGTATGTATGCAATAAGATAATGATTGCTGGTACTCTGACATTTTCAGTTGTTTAGAGGCCTCTGACACGGTGACACACATAGGTAAATCAAGTCAAACAACTAATGGTCACATTTTTATATTGCATATTATGCGTTTATACATTTTTTATTATACTGAGACAGAATGAACTGAGTCAGCCTAAATCCTAAACTGTTTAAACAAACTACCTACAAGTTACAGTATTCTGAAAAGTAAGTTTAAGTAGTTAATAATTAAACTATTTCTATTTAAATTAATTGACAACATTTTTGGAGTACTTTAATTTTTTTAAATTGTTACTTAATTAATTAGAAAACTATTCAAACTATGATCATTTCAGCAATATTACCCATTAAACACTTGTGTAGTTGTGTCTGTTTTTAAGGTTAATTGACATTGCAAACCAAACAGATCAATATATCAGATTTAAGTAGAGAACTTAAACTGAAAACCTTAAAGCATGTTTAAACTATATTTCATAGTGCAATGCATGTACTGCAGAAATAATTATTACATTATTGTAGCAAAAGCATATAAACATTCACAAAAAAAAAAAAGAGATGGAAACTCACTCAGAACGCTGGCTGTAGACTCTGATGTCATCTGAACATTCATGGGCATCACATATTCTATGGTGAAGCAGCGTCCCTTTTCATCTCCTAAAAAAGAAATAAAGAATTCAGGAAAGACAGCAAAATAATTATATTATCACACTCATCATGACATTATAAAATTTTTACTACATTTTTTTAAACAAAAGAAGAGAACATAGAATACGCAGTAAAAACAACTAATGAAAATATTAAAAGTTGTTATTAAATAATACAAAGACAGAAATGGTGTGTTTGTATTATCTATTTAATACTGTTAATCATAGTTTATTTGATACTATCAATAGGACTATTAATAGAATTATTTAATTACAGTCAGCATGTCTGCTGAATCGAATGGTTTAAAGGTTTGTAGGTCAAAGATTTTGCTTTGTAACATTTTTAGAAACAAGGTCACTCAATAACCATTTAGACCTGTATGGATGTGGCCTCGGTGCAAAATGCTGTTATATAATCCATTAAGAACAGAAACTGTTTGTTTGTATGATCTAATGAATAAAACAAACTTCAAAATGGCAAGAAGAATATTCACTGTTTTTGCAATAACAATACGCTAGTGTTTAAAAGTTTGGGCTTGGTCAATTTTGTCAATATTTTTTAAAGAATTATTTTATGCTCCCACGACTGCATTAATGGACAAAATAATAACTGAATTAAATAATTAATGTTTTCTTTTGTATTTTAATATAACAATGCATTCATGGAATTGCAAAGCTGTTTTATTAAAAGTTTATTTTTGAGTGTGTGCCTTCCTATTATAAAAAGAGAAAAGAGGACGATACCTGATTTACCAGTTGGTAACACTGTCCCCGAAGCTGGTGACTCTAAACAAAAAAAAGAAACTGAAATCACTTGTTTTTATATATCTCCATGGTATCATTACTGACGTGTTCAGCATGCTATTTGTGATGTAAGGTCAAAGTAGGGTGCAGTGGAAAGAGGTAAAAGATCTGCATGGGAAATCTGTACCGTGTTGAAACAGGATGTTATAACTGGCCAAAAAATATGACTTATGATTTTGACCACAGTAAACAATAGTGAAAATATATATGTATAATACCATTTATCTTCTGTAAGGTTTACAAAGCATGACTTACAACAAATTGAATGCAGAATGTTTACTGTCACATCCATCAACGACCACCTGAGGGCACTGTAGTGCATCAGGACTCAGTCAGCACTACAGCGTCCCAGAAGAACTCCATTCTCATACATGCCCCGCGCACACACCGGAACACCTACACTGACCTGTCATCACATCTGTTTTGTGTTACTGTTGATTATCTGGACTATTTATACTACCATTTCACCACAGTTTGTTATCGCGTCGTTTGTCTTCCTTGTCCGAGTATCGAGTAAGTCTAAGATTCCAAGTTTGTTATTCTGATTCTGTTCTTGTATTTTGCATTAGTCTAGTTTGTGTGTCATTTGTCTAGTCTGTGTTCTAATTAGGTTTAGTTGTTTGAGTTTGTTTTTCCTGAGCCTCGTCTCTGATTTAGTTTCTGGTTTTGTAGTTTATTTGTTACTTTGTATTCTTATCACCTTGTTGGTTGCACTGTAAATAAATAATCTGCACTTGGATCCGCACCTTTTTGTTCCTTGTTTTGATCACGCTAAAACGTGACAGAACGACGCGATCACACAATGGATCCAGCGGATAATATTATAGTGCGCCTTAAACAAGGTGATCGCTCTATTGAGCGATTTATATAAAGGAGTTTTTGCAATTAGCTGCGACGAGCTCTCACAGTGAACTCTTGCTAATGATGTTTTTTCAGGGAGGACTTTTGGAACCAGTCCGGTCACACATGCCGCCATACGAGGATGACTGGAACCTGTATCGGTTTGTGGAGGAGGCTTTGCTAATCGCTGGCTCCCCCCTCTCTGTTGCCTTGAAGGAGGAGAACCCTCAGGAGTGAGGCCTGAGTAGATGGCAACAGAGAGGGATATTTTCAGGGCCAGCTGATTTAACTAAAGGAAAGAGGAGAGAGGCAGGACTGGAGTTACGGACTTACCCGCGTTGGGTTGCCAGAAGAATACACTTCTCAGAGCCCCTGGAGAGTCTTCTGGAGCTGTGTGAAACTTCAGCCTCTGCTCTATGCCCACAATGCCTGCCAGTGTCAGCTCCAGTTCCAGAGCAAGCTCCTTCTCCAGATGACACTGTTCTCACGTCTCAAACCACCAGACGAGGGAGGCGCAGGAAGAGGACAGCTCCAGCCCCCGAGCGCCCGCCAGTGTCGGCTCCAGCCCCCGAGCGCCCGCCAGTGTCGGCTCCAGCCCCCGAGCGCCCGCCAGTGTCGGCTCCAGCCCCCGAGCGCCCGCCAGTGTCGGCTCCAGCCCCCGAGCGCCCGCCAGTGTCGGCTCCAGCCCCCGAGCGCCCGCCAGTGTCGGCTCCAGCCCCCGAGCGCCCGCCAGTGTCGGCTCCAGCCCCCGAGCGCCCGCCAGTGTCGGCTCCAGCCCCCGAGCGCCCGCCAGTGTCGGCTCCAGCCCCCGAGCGCCCGCCAGTGTCGGCTCCAGCCCCCGAGCGCCCGCCAGTGTCGGCTCCAGCCCCCGAGCGCCCGCCAGTGTCGGCTCCAGCCCCAGAGCGCCCGCCAGTGTCGGCTCCAGCCCCAGAGCGCAGTACAATGCCAGTTCCAGTCCGGCTCCTGGCCTTACCGGCGCCACTCAAGCTCCTCGCCCTGCCTGCCCCAGCCCGGCTCCTCGCCCAACCGGCCCCAGCCCGGCTCCTGGCATTACCAACGGCATCTAGACGTCTTGCCCTGCCGGCACCCCCCAGACGTCTTGCCCTGCCGGCCCCAGTCCGGCTCCATGCCCTGCCGGTTCCAGCTCGGCTCCTTGACCTGCCAACCTCGCTCGGGCTCCTTGCTCTGCCGGCTCCAGCCCAGCTGCCTCCAGTCCTGCCGGCTCCAGCTTAGCTGCCTCCAGTCCCGCCGGCTCCAGCCCAGCTGCCTCCAGCCCAGCTGCCTCCAGTCCCGCCGGCTCCAGCCCAGCTGCCTCCAGTCCCGCCGGCTCCAGCCCAGCTGCCTCCAGTCCCGCCGGCTCCAGCCCAGCTGCCTCCAGTTCCGCCGGCTCCTGTCCAGTTGCCTCTTCAGCTGGCTCTCTTGGGGTCCCCTGCCTTGTGTTTTCTGCAGGATCATCCTTGGGTCATCCCTCCCGCCCCTCCCTGGTGGTCCTTTTCATTATTTGGGACGGATTCCCCGGCTGCACCCTGGCTTCCTGCCGGGGTGCCTGACCCAAAAACTGACCCTGATCTGGCCCTCCCATCCCTCCCTTTGTTCCTGCTCTGCTCCGCCCCCCCTCTTGGAACCAGTCTGGGAGCGTCTGGAAGCCGCTCTTTAGAGGAGGGGTAATGTCACATCCATCAGTGACCACCTGAGGGCGCTGTAGTGCATCAGGACTCAGTCAGCACTACAGCGTCCCAGAAGAACTACATTCTCATACATGCCCCGCACACACACCGGAACACCTACACTGACCTGTCATCACATCTGTTTTGTGTTACTGTTGATTATCTGGACTATTTATACTACCATTTCACCACAGTTTGTTATCGCGTCAGTTTGTCTTCCTTGTCCGAGTATCGAGTAAGTCTAAGATTCCAAGCTTGTTATTCTGATCCTGTTTTTGTATTTTGCATTAGTCTAGTTCGTGTGTCATTTGTCTAGTCTGTGTTCTAATTAGGTTTAGTTGTTTGAGTTTGTTTTTCCTGAGCCTCGTCTCTGATTTAGTTTCTGGTTTTGTCATTTATTTGTTACTTTGTATTTTTATCACCTTGTTGGTTGCACTGTAAATAAATAATCTGCACTTGGATCCGCATATATATATATATATATATATATATATATATACTAATAATACAGGGAGCTAATAATTCTGACTTTAATAATATATATAATATTAATAAAGGGACTAAGCCGACAAGAAAATGAATGAATTAATGTGTTTTACTTAAGCACATAAAATTCAGAAAATTTGAGAATTTTTCCTTTTTTTATACATAGATTTAAAACAAGCTGAGGTTTGTGTAAAAAACAAACATTGACCCAGCTGGGACCTAAAGCAGCAACTTTCTTGCTGTGAGGCGACAGCGCTAACCTCTGAGCAACCGTGCAGCTGTCTGTTAACACTAATTCTAATTTTAACACATAGTTTTAATTCTATTTTTTTCTAATTAAAGTTTATAAATTAGTTATCAATCAATTGACTAATGTTAACAAGCACAGCATTTGATTTTAATAATGCATAAGTAAATCTAAACTAAATATATTAACAAACAATTACTACAGTAAGTATCCCATATTACAAAGTGTGGGTGTTTTTTCTTAAGAAATTCACTCTGGTAAAAGCACAAGGATTCAGAGACACAAATCCCTAAAAATTAATACTGTAACTAATCAAAATGATTTTTTGTTTCATATTAGGGTTTTTAAACCCCTGTGTACTGAGCTGAACTGAATCATGAGTGTACTTACTAGAACAAAACATTCTGTGGAACTGAATATGTCTCATGAAACTTAAGGCTTTTACTTTTTCCAACCAACAATAAACATTGAACGTATCCCAAAAGTAAAATATACAAAGGAGCAATAAACAAAAATGCATCTATTAATCCGTACGCAAATTTCAAAATAAATGTCCACTTCCTTACAAATCTCAAATCTCTTACTAACATTCCATAAACCCATGAGTATAAAAAGACTAGTAGTGTCATTTTATTGTTATTATGTTTCACTTTATCTAATGTTATATTATCATCACAAACACTAATATGTGGCAGTGTCACAGGGGAAATGCATATGTTCGCACCCACCATCACTCACCTGAAAGAAAACAGACCCTCCATAACCCTGAATGTAGAGACATGCGGATTTCGGTGCTCTGGTTGAGAGGGAGGATGACCCCTTCTTCCAGGTAAAGCCAGTAGTCGGTACTGACGGCAATACCCAGCAGCCCCAGACTACACACAGCAAACACACTGCTGAGGAGCGTCAGCACTTTCCTGCCACACAAACCCATTTCACATCAGCAGAGGGTGTCAGCTGCAGGAAAACAGAAGCTGTAGTGAGAGAAAGAAAGAGAAGAGAAAATAAATCAGCTTAAATAACCTAAGAAATAAAGGAATAGTTCATTTCCATTTTCCTTTCTTTTTCATTAGTCAAAAGTAACTAAAGGACTCTTTTTTAATAACCAAGCCATATGGTCTAAAGCTGTCATGGTTCATTTATAGTGTTCTCCTCTTGTTGTTATGTCTGTCGCATGACTGCGTTTGTTTACCTTTCCTTGACAGCACGCGTTCCAGTCAGCTGACTAATCAGTGGAGCCACCTGCAATCTATTATCGAGACCTATTTAAGGACTCTGTTTCTCATTCTCATTCAGTTGGTCATCTTTGTTTCTGTCTTTCACATCATGTTTCATTGTTCTCCTCGACTTACAGGTATCTTGCGACCAGAGTTGATACCATAGCTGCTGTCAACTTGTCTCCCTTGATTATTGTAACAAGCATTCAGCTAATGAACTTTTACTTGCAATTGGATCTGCTTAAATCTCCTTCTTGTGACAAAAGCACACAGCACAGCTTCACCTGGGACGTGTCCGAATCCACTTTTGTTATTTTTGAAAGGACAGGAAAAGTGATCTGTACGCATCGCCTAAAGGCGCTGTCCTTGTTCTCTTAATTAGTTATGGGTGTGTTTTGGGCATAACGTGCATTAAACTAATCAGAGTCTCATCTCCCATTCCTATGAAGAGTTATGTTGCAACATGGCGTATTTGCTATTTACATGACAGATTTTTGAAATGGTGTTGTATTGTTTTTATTTTTTTACAGTCTTTGGTTGTGACCAGTATTGAAAAACAGGGGGTTTGGGAACGGCGGCCAGTATTGAAGGCAAATATGTGCATATCACTAGCACACTCGTTAAATAACAAATAAAAAACATGCACCATTGACTTTAGACCAGCTTTTAGTTGTTTATCATAGTTGATTCAAAATAGCAGCACTCCAACAATGTGCCTTAAACAACCTCTTTTTAAAACTTACATGCCCATAGGCACAGAAATGGGTGCAAATGCATTTTCTATTTAAACAAAGAGGTGTTATACATGAAAATTATACCTGTGCCAGGCTAAAACTTTCAAAAATACTTGTGTCATGTCTGGCGCCACATTGAACCAGGTGTATGAGAGGATATATTAATTATTAAATTATAATTAATTGTACATATTTAGATCAGTTACATGTAATAACTTGATTCATTTTAAGCAGGTTATTTTATAGTGGCCAAATGAAAATACCTTCTGTTTTGTTACTTATGTTAGGTAAGCAGACAAACCACCCATAAAAAAAAAATCTGAAACTAATCATAATTTAATATTAACTGAATTGATATTTATTTTAAAAGGTATATAAAAAAAGTTCAATACAATTTGCTTTACATACTGTTATGATCACCAGCAATCTAGCCCATGCAGATCGCTGGAGATCTACAAATCTGCCAGCAAAAGATCCTGCCTGCTCTAGATCCTGTCTGATTGCAAACACTCCTGCTGTCCTTTTGTGTTTTAGACCCTCGGCTTGTTTTGTTTGTTTACGTTGCCTGCTGCCTGCCTGTACTGACCATGTGCCTGTCTATCAACCATGACTCTGGATTGCCTGTGTACATCTGTTTGCTCCTGTGTTGACTGTTGCTTGCCTGACCATCTCTGTTCAATAAACTCTGTGTTTAGATCTTCAACTCCCTGTTGTCAGTGTCCACTTCACATTACACATACATTTCAATAAAATAAGGTGCTTTTACAGCAATATTCTGTGAAACGCAACTTAAACAAAAGTTCTGATATTGTTTAGAAAAGTACAAGGTGGAGTAAGAGCAAGAGTAGGGGGGAGATTCTTTTTTTAGGGTGTAGTCAAGTGTTTGTGGAAGGGATGACTTTTAAGTTGCTGTTTGAATGTTATCAGTGAATAAGCAGTTTATATTGAATTGGGAATTTCATAAGTACTGTGAATGAAATGTTTTTGTACACTGATTTTGAACTTGAGAACTTTGAAATTAAGCTCCAGAATTTTGAATCACTTGTAGTGGTTTAGGGCGACGCAGTGGCGCAGTAGGTAGTGCTGTCGCCTCACAGCAAGAAGGTCGCTGGTTCGAGCCTCAGCTCAGTTGGCGTTTCTGTGTGGAGTTTGCATGTTCTCCCTGTGTTTGCGTGGGTTTCCTCCGGGTGGTCTGGTTTCCCCCACAGTCCAAAGACATGCTGTACAGGTGAATTGGGTGGGCTAAATTGTCTGTAGTGTATGAGTGTTTGTGTGTGAAAGTGTGTGGATGTTCCCCAGAGATGGGTTGTGGCTGGAAGGGCATCCGCAGCGTAAAAACTTGCTGGATAAGTTTGGCAGTTCATTCCGCTGTGGCGACCCAGGATTAATAAAGGGACTAAGCCGACAAGAAAATTAATGAATGAATGTAGTGGTTTAACGGTCTTCTGGTCCAGCCTGTAAATTACAAGAGCTTGGGCAAAAAGTTGTGCAGCATGTTCTGTCAGGAAGGTGTCATGGTTGTGGATCTATCTGCTCTTCTATGAAGTGTCTGCGTGGTGCGATTGTTTATCTGTGTTTGCGGTGCGTGTGTGACTAGTGTGTGTGCGCTTCTTTCTGTGTTTGTGTGAGAGTCGCGTGGCTGTCAGTGTTGTTGTTTTCATGTCATCAGCTGGGCGGTCACATGATCATGGTCGCCTAGCACCGCTCAGCTGATTATCAGCGCTCCAGGTGTAGCGCATTACTGTGTCTATAAATGTTCAGCGTTCCTGTCTCACCTTGTCAGTTTGTTGTCCTCACTTGTCTTTGTATCTCTGTCAGGCTCTCCCCGTTGAGTTCGCTGGTGTTGTGCACTGGTTGAAGTTATCTCCAATGAACTTTGATTCGCTCTGTTGACGGCGAGTGAGGTTCTCTCCGATGAACATTTGATTCGCTCTGTTGACAGGGAGTGAAGTTCTCTCCAATGAACATTTGATTTGCTCTGTTGACGGAGAATTATTTGCTCCTTTCATCCACCTCTTGTGATCCTCAGACTTCCAGCCAGCCAGCTTCTCATTGTTCTGTGTTTTTCACTTCTGTGTTGTCTAATAAACTGTCGCTTGCATTTGAGTCCCCACATCTTCTTTGAACAGTGTGACAGAACGAACTGACCATTATGGACCCAGCAAGCACATCGGAGATTCAGTAGATTCTGTCCCGCAGCGCCGCTCGCTTAGACCATCAGGATCAACAAATGAAAGTTTCCAGCCAAGCCATTCAAGCTCTGGTAAACCAAGTCTCCGAACTCACCACCCAAGTCCAGCGTCTTAGCTCGGGTCTCGCCGCCGGATCCACTCTGCTGCCTCCTCCCGTTGATCCACCAGCCAGTACAGTTGTCAACGAAAGCCGCTCCAGCGAACCACGACTACCTCCTGCAGAGTTACGCGGGCGAACCCCATTTATGCCGAGCCTTCCTAGCTAAATGCTCACTGTATATTGCTCTCCAGCCTTCATCTTTTCCTAGCGAGCAGAGCAAGGTGGCATTTTTGATTAATCTGCTCACAGGTAAAGTGGCATTATGGGGAACTACGGTATGGGAGAACAAGAATCCTTGTTGTAACACCTTCAAAGCATTTTCGGACGAACTCAAAGTGGTTTTTGATCAAGCGGCTTCAGGCAGAGAGGCGTCCAGAAAGCCAGCAGAGCTCCGTCAGGGAGATCAGAGTGTCGTGGACTATTCCATCGAGTTTCGTACGCTGGCAGCGGAGTGTGGCTGGAACAGCGAGGCACAGTGGGACATGTTTTTTCATGGATTAGCGGAGCACATTAAGGATGAGATCTACGCGTTGGAGTTGCCTAAAACGCTTGAAGGTCTCATCAATCTGGCGGTAAGAGTGGACAATCGTCTTCAACGCAGAGGATTTCATAGGAGCCCCGTCTTCAGCGTCTGGCTTTGCAGACCTGTTTTCAAGAGGCAATGCCCCCTGAGCCGGAGCCCGAACCCATGCAGATAGGAAGGTTTCGTCTTTCTACGGAGGAGAGACGTCGTCGACGCTCTGGGGGGTTGTGTATGTATTGTGGAGTTGGGGGGCATTTTGTGGCTGTTTGTCTGGCCAAAAATAATAAGCCATCTACGGGTAAGAATTTATTGGTGGGGGAAATTATGTCTAAAAAGAACTCTCCTAATATGACATCTTTACCTATCAAACTGTGCCTTAATTCCATTTCTCACACATGCCACGCGCTCATCGATTCCGGAGCTGAGGGGAATTTTGTTGATTCTAAATTAGTGATCAGTCTGAAAATCTCTGTTTCTCCCCTTTCCTCACCTATCGCGGTGGACGCTCTTAGTGGATTGTCCCTTCCGACCATCACACACATTACTGCTCCCATAAGACTTATTACTTCTGGAAATCACACAGAACTCATTACATTTTTTCCTCAAAGACACTATTGATACTTCTGTCATTCTGTGACATCTGTGGTTGGTGTTACATAAACCTCACATTAATTGGAGTCATAATGCAGTTTTTTTGTGGAGTGAGAGCTGTCATGAATCTTGTTTATTGTCTGCTTGTTCTACTGTTCCTTGTTCTGTGTTTCAGGAGGAGCGGATAGATCTGTCAAACTTGCCCCGTGAGTACCATGACCTGAAGAGAGTGTTCAGTAAGTCCCGGGCTGCTTCTCTACCTCCTTACCATCCCTATGACTGTGCTATAGACTTATTGCCAGGTACGTCTCCGCCTAAGGGCAAGTTATATTCGCTATCTGTTCCAGAGAGGGAGCCTATGGAGAAATATATTTCTGATTCTCTAGCAGGCAAGATCATCCGCCCGTCTTCTTCACTGGCGGGGGCGGGATTTTTTTTGTGAAAAAGAAGGATGGTTCTCTTTGTCCGTGCATTGACTATCGAGGGCTGAACAGCATCACGGTTAAGAATACGTATCCTTTGCCGCTAATGTCTTCAGCCTTCGAGCGCCTGCAGGGGGCGAACTTTTTTACAAAATTAGATCTCTGCAATGCTTATCATTTGGTTCGCATAAGACC